TGAAATATTGCAATATTTCAGTGTATCGATATTTTCTTACACCCCTAATGACAATGTGCCTGATCCTTATTCAGTCTAATATACTGAGCCCTGTAAGCGCAGAGGCTCACTGTTTTAAAAACGGAGGGAGCGAAAGGATTGTCCTTCTGGAACCTCTACCTCAGCCTCAGCCATTGGCTGTAGCCATGCTATGACATAGAAAGACAAAAATATTTGTCAAAGATGGCTCTACCTGAATTGCAAGGTAAAGTGTACAAACACATCAGAGATAAAAGATGTCAAAGCGATGAGTTTTACATTGAATTAGAATTACTGATCGCACTGAACCACTGAAAGAGGGTTTGCTCAATAGCTCATTTTTCTGACAACATTGTTACATTTTCTGCTCTGTTGAAAAAGAAAAAAATATATTACAAGTTTCCATATTAAAATAAACACCAAACCATCATGATTAACATTAACATTAACACAACATGATTAAATAGAGCTAATCAAGCCTATTGGTAGTCGATGGCCCTCTTTTGCATGTGACTAACCTGTTTGTCCACCATGTGGAGGCAGTGCTTATAAGGCTGAGTTCACCTGAAACTCAGACTGAAGAAGTCTCTTGGAGGAGAGACGAAACGTTTCACTAAAGAAGAACCCATCCAGAGGACCTACTTATTTTTTCTTTTTGACTTCCTCTAACATGTTTTATAAGTAGTCAATTTTTGTATTCATGTTGAAATATTGTTAAATGTTATTTTATTTCTTTTTGACGCTCTTAGTTTGAAGTTTAGCTGCTAAAGCTGCGCTACACACGCAGCCTGACACATCCAGTACTGCTCGTAAGAGTTTTTATTTAATTAGGGATAAATGGCATAGAAATCGAAGTTTTACACTTGTGAATTTTTTCAGTGGACTTACAATCAGCGGAACATTTTCAAACTTAGCAATCTGCTAAATGAGAAGCTAGTTCCACWATTAGCAGAAAAACAGAACTGTGCCCACCACTGATAGGAAGCACGCTCTTCATATGCAAATGCAACTAGAGTTTCAACTTGTTAGCACATTGACCTGATTGAAATTGCAGCTTTAAGGGTGATATTTTGAGCCAAATCATTGCTATTTTTACACAGCCTGGTAAACATTATACCTGTATTACCGCCCAAACCTTAAGGTTTGTTAAGTGTTAWGATCTGAAGCCCCACCGGAGGGGTAAGAGTTTGACCACTCACCCCTTTAAAGTTGCTCATAGCCTGGAAATAGACGAGGTAGCTCTTGCGGGGGTCCAGAGGGCTGTTCCAGTAGCCGTTGTAGGTGTGATTGTCCCCGACGGTGAAGGGACTGGCTTCGGGCAGACTGCTGGGGGGCAGCTCTGCTGTGTAGTAGTGCGGTGAGCCTCGGGCCTGGGCCTCACCGTGAGACATGGGCAACGGGAAGCAGTCCTGAAGGCCCAGCTCCCGCTTCACTTTCTTCACAGTCTCCTCTTCAACCACCACCTGGTAGGTGCTGGAGTGGAGATTCAACTTTAACAAGCCGTGTTTGGGATTAAAATAGTACATTATGCAGGTCTGAGGTGTCGTCTCCTCACCTGACGGGAGCTCCTCTGCCTTGCGCCGGGCGCAGCAGCACAGTAATTGTACTCTCGGTCTCGCTCAGTGGYGATGGCATGTCTCCATAATCAAACGTAGGAGCTGTGGACACATTGGGGTTCAAACATCAAAGACCACACACACACAAACACACACACATGCACCAATAACACATCTCGCTGTAGCCACCGCTCATTTAGGTAGCATTAATTGAGTTCAAACGGTGCCTCTGCCTCTTTTTTCCTTCCAAGTAAACAAGCTCAGCCTTAAAGTGTCAAAGAAAACTGACCCGGTTTACTATTAGCATAAAGGCACGAAATTTCGAGCAAAGCCAGCACCCACGTTCTCACATTTCCTCCCAGTTGTCTTCAACAAAACACCAATTAAAAGTCGCAGGAGTGAACGGCTTCCTCGTTTGAAAGGATCTGGCTAAAGTCTCCCTCCTCCCCGGAGATGTTGTGGCACATTTCTCTTTAATATCAGCAGTCAATTAGTAAAGGGGAAGGGGAGCAAACTATTCACAGAGCGTGGATAATTATTATATTAAAACGTGGTTTGTTAACGCTGGCAGCGGAAATGAGCTGACATCAATTAGAGCCTTAAAGAAAACTGGATGAAGCTTTGTTGACGTCAAGGGTCTGTGGCACTAAAAGACAGTTTGATCCCCGCTGTCTGGTCCGGAGTCTGTCTGAGGGATGTTAGTGTATTAACCGCTACAGTGCACTCATCTGAATGCGTGTGTGTGTGTGTGTGTGTATGCGTGCGGTGCATGGGGATGAGCAAATGTGTGCAGTCAGGTACTTTGCGGTGGGTGTTGTTCAAAGATGCTGACAGTAGTGGCTGTTGAAGGTGTTCAGTGTTTGCTGGCTGTCAGTGCAGATTTAGGAGATGCTCAGTGTAAGTGAACGCTCGGCACYGTGGGCTGGCGAAGGAGGAGGAGGAGGAGGATCTGCACAGACTTTTGCACTCTATCTGTGGTCTGGATTGGTGCCATGAGTGATTTATAGCCAATAAGCTGCAATTGTGAACTTAATCTATAATTAAACAAATCGGACTTGCCTGTGAAGAGATGGGAGATTTAAAAAAAAAGATAGGTGTGTGTGTGTGAGAGAGAGAAAGAGAGCAGGAGGGGTCCTTCTACGTGTTCCTCGGAGGTATAATCGCATCCCTTAACAAGTGAAAATGCACCATCAAAGGAAAGCWGCAACACAAAGGCTGAATTCCTATCACTGCTAATAAGCTCCGAGACTCTTAGAAGTGACGTTCTGCTCCCAACAATGTTCTGCATCCTTCTTTATACCGTAACACACAACAGCATGCCCTCTGCGGTGCTTCTCTGCCTCCTAAAAGTTAATTTATATCTAGAGGACTGCAAGGCGACAGAGTGCCACAAGTTTGGAGAAGCGATGAAAAATTGCTCCAACATTCTGGGAGCAGAAGTTAGTTTTTTTTTTTTTGCCTCAGTGAAGGAGAAATGCTAAGGTCAAAAGAGAGAACTCCCCAAMTCCTAATTATGGAACATGGTGGTTTGAAATCTTAGTGTAGTCCACGCAGACTGTGAATAAAAGATGGATGTTGCCACTACATCTGAGACACGAAGCTAATGAGAAGGCGCCTTACAGACAGGCACCACTGAGGGTCACTCACTAGGGACTGCATTCCACAACATTTCTGCCTCAAACTACTGATTTAAAGAGGGGGGAGGAAGGCCCCGATGGAAAAACTGGCAATAATATTTACCAACAGTTATCTTGTTGTCATGAGTTAGAGTCACTCCATCTGCTCGATGTGCTGGTGGTCCTTCTAAACATCATTCCACAATGACTCCACAAATACTCATGAGTTGCTCTAGTAACTTTCTCTTGATATAAAAAAAAGAGACACCCAAACACCAAAAACTGTACTAACGGACTGAGAATAGAAATTTAACAAAGCAAAAGGTGAAGTCAGAGCTTTGGGACCATATGGTGGCAGTTCACAAGCCGTAATTCCATCCAATYTTTATTCGAAATTTAAGAATTTTTTTAAATTTCGCAAAACGGAAAAAATGAGGAAACGCAAATCAGATGTGTTTCCATCAACTGGCTTGAAGCGAATCAATTCGTCGGACACATGTGTAGTAAACAGGAAGTTAAAGTCGCAAACTCGCAGGGTCCACACATCTCAGGACAATGGAGAGAAGTTATCAGGAAMGTGTTGCTACTATCAGGAAAGTTGTTATTATTCTGTCATATAAAGTAGTTCAGGTGATTTTACATGCTGTCTGCAGACGTAGAGAAAGAAATGCAGTTCTCTTCATGTTATGGGAATAACTGAGAATACGCCGACAGCAGGAGGAAGGTCCTGCTGCCAGTCGCTCTGGTACCAGGGCCGGTATCAGACAGACAGGGGGAACATCTGATCAACCATGTGAGGTAAATGTTCGCTTCGTCAGAACTTTTTCRGCAAATGTGTTTCCATCTCTCCTTTTGCACATTAACTCTTTTTCGAAAAACCCAGAAACCACCTCAAGCGAGCGTATCAACGTTTTTGCAAATTAGAGGAAGTTTTTTCGAATCATGCCGTTTCCATTCACCTTTTCTGATGCGATACTTCAAAATGCTCATTTAAAAAGCGCAGATGGAGACACAGCTACAGTTCTTGTAACTATTGAAGAAAGTTTGCCTTATTTTCTGGTTTTTGAACTTCCTGTATGGTCGTTAGTAGTCCTCATATCTACATTTATCAGTTCCAGTTTCTTTGCTCCTGCCTCAGAATGAGGACGTTTGGTTCAATTGATTTGATTTGATTTATTTATTTAACAGGAAAAGATTATTAAAAATCAAGCCTGATTCAGCATAATTGCTGTTTTTCAGCAGGTTCCTGTTCTGCAGCACATAAAAACACTCAGAATTACAGCATCACAATCACATCATTATACACCATAGACACAAAGACAATAGTGACTCTCAAGCGATATAAGAGGATGTGATTGGTCCTTGCATAAACTTACACTGGTTAGCCAAGCAAACCGATTTATACAAACGCTCACAAGGAAAAAGCTCACATTTTTTCAATGAAACACCAAAGGTCTGATATGTGACGGTTTCAGTGTGATTTGAGTTATTACCTGCTAACCTTCCACAGCTTTTTTTTTTTTTCTTCACAACTATTTTTATTCACTTGGGCAAGATTGAGCAYTTACTATATTAATGAGTGAGTTTCTGTAAATTGTTTTTAACAGTACCTAATAGTGTTCACCTAGTGCCTCACYGAACAAGCGATGCAGTCAGGTGGAGCCTCAAAAACCTGTGTCGGGACTTGAAATCTCTGGAGGACTTCCTCCATWCAGTGGGGCACTGCATCCGATGGAATTATGTCTTGCAATTGGGGATAGAACAATACAATATGCTTATATATGTATGATGAATGATAATACTGTGTGAAGTAAATCTTATGTGCTTTGTTTTTCATTAAGGGTGTGMGCTCATGTCGCATTAGTTTTTGTCTTGTGAGCTTTCTTGAGGGACTCGATTTGATCCTCTGGCAAACGCAGAGTTAAAGCTTTGTTTATATTGCTGAAGTAGAAGCTGCTGAGGCAGTCTGCCAGGACAAGCTCTTCTCTAGTGCACAACACAAGGTAGACCGGTCTGTAGTATGAGTCCTGGCTCATCTAACTCCTTCTCCTGAATATTTGAAATGCTCTTTCAAACTCCGCTTTAAAAATTTAACTGTAGACCTACAGCACATGGGTCCAACTGTGGAGTCCTCCATTGTTGTTGGTGGTAAAGGTCTCACAAATAAATATGTTGCTCAAGCTCAGAGTTCACCTGGCAGAATGAAAACAAACATGGCGGTCCTTACAGCCCTAAGAGTCTTTATAATGGTTTGGTCAAAAACAGGGATATTTAACTGGCAGCCCACAGCAAGTATTATTATTTTTACGTAATTTAATACAAATAAAAGATTTTAAATCAAATTTAAATTTAAGACTCAAAGAAACAAAATAAACAGATTTAAAAGATACAAGATAATACTTGTTGTTTTACTCACAGTGTTTCCCCTACCATTATTTACATTTTATTTTATTACTGTACATTTATTTAGGCATAGTTTTAGTTTTTATTTACAGCAAACAACTTGAAGCAATATATTTGACATTATCTCGTCAACCTTATTTATTGTTTTTCCCCCTCATTGACCAATGCATTTAGRTCTGCGACACATTTCCAAAGTGTTTGAAAAGTTAAAATTTTCATCATGTTGAATTGTTRCTAATCTCTCTAACACTGGATTTTGTATGTACCAAAAGCAATGAACCAACATTTAATTTTAGAATAACCTATTTTTTCCCCTTATCTTTGGTTTAAATCACAGAGTGGGGATTTTTTTCAAAAACAAGAACAAAATTTTTAAGTTCAATCTGGATGACARTAATCCATGTTTTTCTTTATTGTATCTATTCAGAGAATTGGATTGAACCATTTTTTTTACTTCTTGCACAATATCTTGAAGTTGTTCTATAGTGAATTTAATTTTCTGTTTTAGTGTTGGATGGATGTGTCCCATCAGTAACATCCTGCTAAAATCATCTGCTGACCAATGATGGTCATCTGAACAATAATTTCTCCAGCAGATATTTGCACCGCTGCTCTTTAAGCACTAAATATTTCATTTTAATATGATTCTGAAATGTGTGAATTATTATTTTATTTTAAAAAAACAATCAGCTGTTGAAGATACCTGAAATGTTAGTGGTGATTTCTGTCAGCGCAGTCTGACCAAAGCCCTTGGCTGTACGCGCTCGAACGGAGATCAGGTAAGTTGTCCCTGGGTGAAGGTTCGAGAACATGTGGTAGGTCTCGTTCCTGAGCTTGGACACGGTTCTTCTGGGTCCTGGAACGTTGATCCCTGGATCTGATGACTCAATACTCTGGTAACTGATCTGTTAGTAGGTGAGAAAAACACGCGCACACAAAAATCATCTGTTATTACTATAAAACCACACATTTTTATTTGTTTGCAGATGTTGACAAATTTCAAGTAAGGTTATTAGATTTAACACCCTGCAAGWGTTCACTAGGATTCTCTTAATTTAGAAATAAATCAGCTTAATAAATGTGTTTTTTAGTAGCCCARTAGAGTTTAAAATCATACATGAATAAAACCTAATTAGCCACGAGTGTATGAGAAACCTCGACTTTATCAGAAAATATTACAGGAGGTGAACGGTTGCCTGCAATAAAACTGAATTATTACGGCCAACAATTTTGGACACCGCACATTAAAAGGCACACTCGAGTGTTTAAGCTGATATCCCTCAAGTCTTCCTGAGTTACGCTAGCACAGATTACCACGAAAAAGCTGGGATAAGTATCCTTGAGAAGTAAAATTTTTCTCAAAGTTTTTTTTTTTTCAAGAGGTTTTCTACCACAGATGTACCTGCTGGAGAACTTCCACTTGTGTTCTTTAAAACAGACAAGTGTTGAATGATGTGACCTCGCTGCAATCAGGGTGAGTACATTACTATCTACAGCGGAGAGGGAGGAGATCCACTTCACGTGAAGGAATGAACTTTCGCAGACGGTCAATAAGAAGTGTGGATGCTCACATCACACACTTTAGATATATGTCTCATTCCAACTGCGAGGCTTTGCTGATTACCATATGAAGAACCTAAAGAGATGATTCAGATCTTTTGAAGATGGCTTCTGTGGAAAAGGTTATAAATAATGTTATATATAGCTTTTTGAAAAACCTCACTTTGGCGAAATCATCCTCTGCCGCCATAAAATGTGGATACTGTAAGTGTCAGTGCCTCTGTGTGTTGGTCTTTCTGTTTCTTTGCAAAATATCTCATGGACTAACTGCACAGATTTGAATGTAACACTCAGAAAGTGATCATTGGATGCATGTCAACTGATTAACTTTGGGAGGCCATTCAATCCAAAATGGCCGCTACAGCTGAAATTCGTAGGGAATGCAAAAACTGAGTCAATTATCCAGATATTTGATAAAGATTGGAAGGGTGAGAGTCAGAATGCAATGCAATGGGTGATATGMATTCCTTTCTTTTTGTTTTTGATTAGATTGGTAAATTAACAGTGAATTTGCTCAAGACAAAGTCTTGAAGTGCCTGCGACGTCAAGTTTTTGTAATAAATATATGAATGCATTTTTGGAAAGGTAACATTGACAATATATTGTAAAAAATATTTCATGCAGCCAAGATGAACAGTTGTTGAGATATTTGCATGTGAAGTAACAGGAAGTGATGTCAAAGGAGAATGTCTGAATGTGAACACAGCGTTGCTACGAAGGCCAACAACACAAACTGTAGAATCTGATGTTTCTTTAGATTATTTTAATTAGTATAATAACGAGATGAGAAAGAGTCAGAGTTCAAAATATGTTGTTTTATAAACAGAAACCAGAGAGTTTTATTTCTTGAAGTGTTCCCCTTTGATGTCACTTCCTGTTTCACTTTGTCTGAGCAAAGTTCAAAAGAACATTTGCCAATTAGGGGATATAATGGGTAAAATCATTCGTATTATACCAAGTTTCTGAAATATAAAGATGTTTTCTTTGACTTTTTTTGTATTTCTTGAATATGCACATCACAGGCACTTTAAATCAACTTTAAAGTCAGAAAATTTCAAAGCAATTCAGACGCTAATTTATGATCCTCTAAAACAAGGGTGCCCAAACTTTTTCCCTGAAGGCCAAAATGAAAATTTATCTGAGGGCTGCGAGATTAATGTCTAAAAAATAATACAAGAAATGCAAATACTTTTAAAGTCCTTTTATTTATTTTTTTAAGATTAAGCTAGCAGTCAGTGTGGTGGCTGCTAGCTTTAGTTTGTTTTTTTAGCACATGCACTAGGAGAAAGTTYGACAYACGCTCAGGCAGCAAAGRCTCATGGGGCATTTTATATTTAGATAAAATATGAGTATTTGTCGTCTTATAAAGTGTGCAAATCTGCATGTGTGCTTACATCTAATCTAAATGTCTCTTGTAGTTACTTGTATTTCATGTTTAATCTTAATACAAAGATCAAGTCAGCACCACGAGTGAAGACTATCTGCACTACAGCCTCTTATACGTATAGTYATTGGGCCAATAAATGTAATGATTGTTAAGTGGAAATGCAGTTTCTACATAAGACAAGAGGAAATTACATCCTAATAACCAGGGCAACTGCTGGCAGGACAAATCAAATGGCTTGATGGCCAGTTTTGGCTCAGAGGCCCCACTTTGGGCACCTCTGCTCTATGAAGTCACCAGTTTCACATTACATAGTTATTCTGCCAGAAATAATTGGATAGTTGTGATGGAAATGCTCCAGGCTGCTACCTTTGTTTGTTCTTGCAAAAAATAAAAATAAAATAAAAAACCCACAGAGAATTCTATTTACTGGTCAGATGTAAAGTTAAAATCAATCTTTTTACCCCCAAATCCACGTATCTATAACAGGTAAGGTATTAATTGTTCACAACATCTCCACAGAAGCACCCCCATTTATAAAGATCTAACACTTCAATGCTTTTTTTCTTGCCTCCTGGTTTTGAGGACAGAATTCTAATCTTTTCAGTTAAACAGACAGGCAGCCGTGCTTCTGCTACTAAAAACATATTGTTCCGAAAAAAAAACGACAATGCAGAGAGCAAAAAGCCTTGGGAGGACATCAGTTTCAGCTAACACTGTCTGTGGTTTGGTCTGAAAGAAACAAACAATTTCTTCCAATTCTCTAGAGAAAAAAAGTATATATTTATATATTTCACTTTATTTGTTAAACCAGAAATTCTGTTCAATCATTACCTTGACACGACTTTGCACAGGATGTCAAGAAAAGAAAGTCCAAACGTTGGAAGCGGTAGGCAGACTTTCTTATTGCTTACCACAGACAGAGGTTGTACAGTAAATACAAAATCATTATCCGGCTAAATGGAAGCCCTACAGCAAAAACAAATGCATGTGAGTTATTGATTAATGGTGTCAGGCTCTGTTYCAGTGGGACACAAAAAATGTTGTGTCCAAGTCCTGTGCACAAGGTCAGCGAGTGTTTCCAACCTTTGCTGCTATTTTAGTGAATCTAAGCTCGGCGAGCACCAACAGATGAAACGGGAGGATTTTTTTTATTTTTTTTATTTTTTGTGTGATTAAGCACACACTGTACTGACTCTAGTTTGTACCAGCGATACTAAAAATGTCTGTAAATGGACGAGTACCTGGGAAATAAAAAATAAATCCCTTTCAGGAAACAACAGATTTTGGTGGTATTGCTGATGATTGTCTTGTACTGGTACGAGGAGGAAAGTGGAACTGAATTTCCTGGCTGCTCAATTTTGATGATGCAGCTACTGCAGCGACCCCCCCAAATACTCCAATCACTCTGTTCCTTACAAAATATCATACATTTTGATTTTTTTCCTTTCTTTTCCACCATCACTGACAATTATTTTTATCTGCCTATTGATTAATGCACGACCGGTAGAAACTCGGTGCCGCTATGAGTGGGATGAAAGCCGGCAGATAAAGGGGGACTTAGCGGATGTCTCCTTTTTCATCGGCTCACCTAAGCTTAAAGATGGGTTATCTTGTCAGGATTAGGTAGAATTAACACTTTATCTGTGGAGCAAAAGTCTCCAAATTGTTGAACACATCCCTTTATTCAGGAGCCACAGATTTGCAGTTCCGTCGTCACGTTTTTACTGAAACTCGGAGCTTCATTTTGACGAGCAGCCATGTTAGTTCCACCRTCAAACTCATCCTTGGTGGCTGTTGATTAAACTCTGGCTCTAATCTTGTTAGGAGTCGTGGCCGGAGTTCATGAGGATGCAGTAACTCGGGACACTGCTGGGCTTGGCTGCATGTGTTTACTCATYTGTCTTTTGCTGCAAAGATTTAACTCTTTCTGTTCCTGCACTGGACTTTTTTTGGTTAATATTTGTTTTTGTTTTTTTTTCTACCATATTGGAATATGTTACCATTGAAGCGCTGCTGAGTTACTAGAGTATTTTCAGTTTATTGTTTATTAACAAACAATATTTTTTGTAAATTATGTTTTCTTTGAATTTATTCTGGGGATAAAAGGGGCAGACATTATAAGATTTATTCTTCTTTTGCTAACTTTCATTTTATTTTGATTTGTGCGTTTTTTTTTTTTTTATTGTATATAGTTATTTAGTTATTTTAATAAAATTAAAATAAATTAATTGAAAATTGTATTGAATTAACAAACACAAAATACTTTGATAGTTGATTATTTTTTTGTTTGTTTGTTTATCTGTGCTAACCCTGTAGGAAAATGATCTGTACTGTATTAGGTATAGCAATTTGAAGAGACATTTCAGATTTCTGAAATGAGGTTCTTTATGAAAGTTGTGAACAATTAACATCTTACCTGTTGTAGTTAGCTTTCTGAATGGCCTGTAKTTCTTAAGAGAAATAGAGTTTCATTTTGACTAGATTGACAGGCTAATGGCTAGTCAGAGCGGGAACCAAAGGGAATGATGATGCYTTTAAATTACTCCTAATTTTGAATATCCGAGGTGTTAATGTTTATACAACTTTTACATTACTGACAATTTAAATTTCAGTTTTGWTTTTTTCTGGGGGAAGTATCTCAGGCTGCCCCAGAAATGTTACATCTAGCTGCTGATATTTGCACTTGGAAAACCAAGTAATAAATAAATAACTTTCTACTAAAGCAGGGCTTTTCAAAGTTGCTCCGGGGGCCACTGTCTGTCAACAGCTGAGGGGCCGAACATCCAACAATTAAAGTCATTATGTAAATAAAACATGTATTACAAAGGTCCATTATCTTTGAAATGGTTTATTTTGCTGTATTTAATCATGAATACAACATACAGAACCCTATAAAAGTAGTGATAATTAAACAATATCAAAAACAAAAAGAACACATTAGTATGCCTCTTATTTATTACAAATATTATTTTGACATCTCTGACTTGCCAWTTTTTTTAAATTTTATTTTCACTTTCATAGTTTTATCTTCAATTGCTTGTAATTTTAACTGTCTTAGACGTTCATAGAAATGGTTTTTRCCAACTTGTAGCTAAGGTTCTGACATTTCTGTAGATACCAACATGTCTATGTTTAWATAAAAGAACTTTGAGTAATTAAAGTAGAAAACCGGGGGTTTGGGCTTAAGAGATGAATGGACCAATTGGTGGGCYGAASTTTGRTCACTCGYGGGCCGGATGTGGCCTGCRGGCCACCARTTGAATAGCCCTGTACTAAAGGTTAGTGGTAATGTAAAGTTTTGTAAAAGAACATTTGCATAAACTGATGTATGTTGTTTTAAAATAGCAGAAATCCACTTTCTTACCTAAAAGCTTTAGTTTTTGGCTTCACTGAGACTAGCCGTTAGCTCGTTAATCTGGTTCAAAYGAAACTTTGTTTCTTCAAACTGAGGTCATTCAAAGAGCTATCTACAACAGGTAAGATATTAAGTGTATATAAAGTTTCCATAAAACTCCACTTCAAAATAWCAGAATTTATTAATCCCAAAATCGAAGGTTGATTGATATACAGTTTGAAATTTGCTGACAAAGACTGAAAGAAACGTTCAAGGAAGCGCATTAGCTATAAGGTGTTAAAGTGTCTGTGATGTTCAAATATTTCAAATACAAAAAAGTCTAAGAAAATACTTAAATGTTCACAAAAACTTGACATAACACATTCATTTACCCATTTTGTTTCATAACTAGCATATTTTATTTTGACCTTGGCTCAGCCAACCTGTAACAGGAAGTGACATCAAAGGGGAACAAAGGGCAACTCACTGGTCTTTGTTTATTGAAATATTATTTGATCTGACTCTTAAGGCCCTGTCACACTAGACAACTTACGCCAAATTATGAACATTTTAAAGACATCTACATTGAAGATGGAATTGAAAAAATCAACAGGAAGCTTCTTTTCGGTGTGTACATAATGTAATTTGAACAAATTGATCAAATATATAACTTTTATTAGCAATTTAGACATAAAAAATGTTTCATAAGTTGGCATAAGTCATCTAGTGTGACAGGGCCTTTATTCATGTCTCTCTGACAGTGACTCAAAATAAACTAAAGAAACATCAAATTCTTTTCTACAACCTATGTTGTTGGTAATTGTAGTAATGCTCTGTTCACATGCAGACAWTCATCACTTCCTGTTACTTCACATGTTAATATCTCAACAACTATTCTTCTCAGCAACATTAATTTTTTGTTGTAATTTGTGATAAATGTTTCCTTTCATAAAATGCGCTCTTATTTATTACAAAAATTTGATCTAGGAGGCACTTTAAGCGCCTGTTGTACAGCTCTTGGCTTTTAATGCAAGCAGAAATAAATTTMATTTGGAGATTCTGGGGCAGTTTACACTTCAGTAGGTAATCATGTACGAAGTGAAACCTCAAGCTGTGGGATTACCTCATACTGCGTGATGAGACCATTGGGTTCAACGGGCTCCTCCCACTTCAGGAAGATCATGTCATCCAGTGGGGTGAAGGTGAGTGACTCGGGCGCTATGCCTCCGGGGACTAGGAGAAAGAGTAAACATTTGTCAGAGAAATTGAAATGCCGAGCCCTCAACGAGCTCGTCTTGTTACCATCACAGGAGTGGTTGTTACAATGCAACACACGGGAGACTCCCAGTGGAATAAAAACAGGAAGCTGTCAGTTCATAAAAACGCATGAATATTAAATCTACAGCACACAAACAAATAACATTAAAAATATATAATAATATTTTCACACCAATTCTCTGTCAAAGTTAATTACATTAATAAATATCAGCTGCTCACCAGAACCTTTGATCCTGAACAAGAAAAACGCCTGAATATTTAACTTTCACAGATTTTTTTTTCTCTTTGTTGCAAACAGTAGCAGATCTGCTCTGTAGAGGAAGACTATTATTTAAGACTGAAGCCTGAGGCTAAAGCAAGAGCCAAACAGCTGAGCTGTCTCTTTGAATTCACTTAGTCTGGAGGACAAAGTTGCTTAGTAAGACTTTTGCAAAAAAAAAGTGCTCATTATTTGCATACGCTCTATTTATATACACATATATTCATCTTTATCTGAGCAGTGTAAAAAAAACTCCTCTTTGTGTTCTTGTTTTCTGTTGATCTTCTTTCTTTGGGTCTGTATCTCTTCTCTTTCTGAAAATCTTGTTTGTYCTGATTTTTATTTTTTTCGGTGCAGAATTGATTTGTGCCTCCAGCCACCGTGTGGATGATGAGCTACAGCAGGGGGGGAAATAGGAGATAAGGAGCACAAAATCCTATCTTGGGGTTACCTGACTATTCTCTTTTGTTTCTTGTTGTTTTAATCTGGACAATAAAAAGACAAAAAGCTTCAGCGATGCTAATTCAGCCTTAAATCAGTCAGCTGGTCACCTCCTCTGCTCTGATGTGTTGGAGCTGGCAAAACAATACATCTACCTAAAATGAACAAGAAATAAGATTATGAAACTGTGTTGTGACTAGTAACACTACAGCTGATTTATAATTACAATGTGATAATAAAGGTTGTGTAATAGTAAGTGTTAAATCAGGATATTCTCCAGGTTTGAGTTATAACCTTTTTTTGTACGTGTCACTCTGAAGAACGACTTTTGGCCCAAAAACACCTTCTGTCTTCATTTAGTGCAAACTACAGACGTATAAATGTTCTCTACAATACAAACAGAACCAAAGAAGTTCTTTAAAATATAGAAGGTAATTAGGTGTGCATTGGTGATAAGACTGAGAGATTAGCAGCAGTACACTGAATGCTATAAGGGACAACATACTCTAATATTAGAGTGGTCTAATTTAACTGTCTCACATTTATCAAGGTGAAAATGTTTTTTTTTTTTTTTTACTGAAACTATTTGATTTCTGGGAGCTGCAGTTTGTTCCAATACTGCAGAATATAACCTTATACATTACAGAGAGCAGGTTCTGAGGGTTTTATTGTCTCTCATCTCATTGAGATAAATTGAACAGAGCAGCACAAACAACATCTTTGTGCTTTTGAAATCAGCTACACTGAACATAAACTAGAATATAAAGTCGTTTTATGCCTTCAAAGGTTCAAGTGTTTGATTTTCTTTTTTGTGTTTAGGGAGAAAGATAAAAATTACAAGTCCGGCTTCGGGCAAAGCTAACCTAAATTCCATGTTTTTGCCCATATTGGATTTTTTTATGACAGTCTAAATACGACAAATTCTGTTTTTTTGAATCTGACCAAAGTTTTTTTCACGAAACACTAAACTGGATACATTTCTGATGTTTTTCAAAGCGACTTCAGTCTGAATGGTCATGTCGTAATTATCTGACATACATTTCTGAGGTAGGGGTATACGGATCGATCCATATTGATATATCGATAGCAATGTCTTGCAGTTGAAAGCTTGAAAGTCCACTTGCTTTGCCTTTTATAAACTAACAACATTCATCATATTCTGGATGACTGAGAATTTACACTAACATGATAYTAACGTTGATATATACACTCACCGGCCACTTTATTAGGTACACCACGCTAGTAACGGGTTGGACCCCCTTTTGCCTTCAGAACTGCCTCAATTCTTCGTGGC